ACTCAAATCTCAAACGATCACGTTTTTTCGCAAAATCAGAGCACAAGACCCGTAGAATTTGATTATTCACATCTTTTATCAACAGAAAAGTGTAGAATTGTAATGCAGTATAGGGTAAACGCTCCTATAGTTGCGGTACCTTAGAAGCGTTAGATTCCTATTAATGTTGGTTACTCCCGAACACCTATAGTTGCATATTGAGTCCGTACCACAACTATAGGATCGTTTCCTCTAAGGGGATTTTTTCCCTTGATTTGTTTTCCGTCGATCTTGTTTTCTGTGCTGAGCACCAATGCTACCGACGCCAGGGAGGCAGCTCCCACACCTGGACCCTACAGTTATTTCAATTTCAAGCAGTACAGGCCAATTCGGGTTGAATACGATGGGAGCGACACATCTAAATCTCAATTCTAGATGTTCAACAAATCTCACACTACCGAATCAATCATCAATCAATTAATCTTCTTTTTATATACACAGCGTGCGCGAAGCTAAACACAGTAACACGCAATTTTTCCTGCATCGTAGATAGAGTCACCCTCCTCGGTAAAATAACCCAAATATTATAAATTAACAATATGGTCCACTCTCCTATTATCACAAGACACGATTTTCCCTGATACTACTGAACTGACTCGTCAGAGGTTTCGTAAAACAGCAGAAGTGTTTAAGTTTAACGACAGAATGTAATTTAAAAGTATGTTCAACTTCTTTATAATAACTTGACCTTTTTCCACTTCATGAAATACGTACAAAATCCTAAAACTTAAAACACGCAAGAGGCGGGGGTTTTAAAACTATACTATATTCTGACTTAATTAAACCTAACCCAAGCTAATACCAGTGAGAAGCTGCAATATCCCCCTACCAGACACAGACAATTGTATAAAAATCCAATCCCTCACCACAACAATCAACATGTTCCTGAATAGCGTCATCCTATCATCACTTATTGAATGTTACTTTCCAAGTAACACATAAAACATTTTTTTTGAAAAATAATTAGAATGACTTGTTGAATAAATGATGTAAGTGATGTAGAAAACATCTCACGTTTTATATGAGGTTTATAGATGTTGTCTTCATGCTTCCTAGATTTTAACATTTTCCAAAATAGTTTGCTTTTGCTGTTATCTATAAATGTTTTTTCAAACATCTTACTGTTTTAATACCACTATAAAACTTGTCGTATGCAAAATCAATCTTAGTTGAATTAATAAAACTCTTGAAGAGATTCAGTACTTTGCAGATTGACGTGGACATTGACGGAGCCATTGAGCCGGACTGTCTTATGACGGATCGAATGCGTGTTGCACGAGAATATAATGTTTATTCCATTGGCAAGAACATGATAGATACTTATGATAAAAACTTTTATCAAGCGAGGTTGGTCTAGTTAGGACCAGTGTTCGAATCCCATGCTCAAGTTTTTTGCCGCTGGTTTTTATGATGTTTCCAAAACATACCAATATTTAGTTTTATAAGCTCTGCGTCTTGCACTTTTTGGGTTGTGTTAATGTATTAAATGAAATATATTAAAGTATTATTGATTATTTACGTAAGTAATTGAAAAGTAGTTTCAACTTATTTATGACAAGCCGTGTTGCTTGCGTTGACTCTTTCTGCCCTAAAATTCATTTGATAGCAAACATATGATCGAAGATCTCAAAACTATTTGCATTTGTTGAAATAATAACGTCAATTTTTACCAAATACTTTAAACAAACTAAGCGGGGAGTTCTATTCTAAATATTCAATGTCTAGTTGCCTTCCTATGCGGACCCCCTTGCATCATATTCTTCCCACGAGCCTAAAAGCAAAGACATCATATCAAGAAGACTGGCAACTTTGCCAGAATCCAAGCGACAGATACAATAACACTGCGCTTGAGTGAAGGTAAAAGCAACGTATAGAAAAATGAGCGAATACAAAAACCTTTCTTCTGAGGATGTAATCTTTGCTATCAAATTCGTTCGAAGCATTTACCTTTGAGCGGCAGCTTACGCGATTGTACCTGTCTCATAGCGTTCGTATGAGAAAATGGAAGAGTTGCCAGTCTCTTGATTTGTTGTCTTCGCTAAAATTTAAATTTCCCTGTATCTCCTGATTCTGTTATCTTTACTATATACATTGACCTGCAAAATAAATCTTGCCTTCGTCCGTCTTAAACAACACTTATCTGTGATAAATTGCTTCATTTCGAGATTAGTTTCTTATCTAAACTATATTTAGTTTAGGGTGAGTACTTCATGCCAGGACCAGGGAAAATGGAATATGTCATTTTCAATAAAAGATCTCATCCAATATTTACAGAGATACTTCTGTCACTATCATTGGATGAGAAAACGACGATAGAGATTTTCTTCGAAATCTCATCGAATATTTTTTCATGATAGAACGTGACAGTGTTGTGAGCATCGTAATAACTATCTCACTTAATGCTATTAAAGTTACTTGTACCGAGGAAACCTTAATAATATATTGACTCTACCGATTACATACGGTTGTTTGCTTAAATTCATGTAAATCAGTTAGAAATGTTGAAGTCAAAATCACATAAGAATTATTCTAATGAGTGCTTATTCATTGAAAAATGACAAGAAAGCTAATGATAGGTAGTTTCGTCTCGTGATATTGAGAGGACCTGTTTTCTGATCGTTCCATGACGGCCGTGATATTTACCAGCTCTGAACAGGACATACAGCCATAACAAAAGCATTCGCCCTTTTCGAAAATGAAGCAATACATAAATTATTTATAGTACCAACTGCAATAGATATTTTAGGTATTAAATGATAAGTAATTAATGTAAAATAATAAAAGTACGTCACGCAATTTAAGAGTGCACTTTCAAACGTGTTTCCTTAAGTATTTGGAATATGGATAGAATGACATTATTTAATCTAACTAGTATCGTCCAATTTAAGAGTGAATTGCAACATAACCCACCGGCATCACACCTTATGTCAGTGCCTTTATATAAACGTACTACGACGTATCTAAGAAATTAATGAAAAGAATATATGATGCCATCACTGCACTCAATCGTGGGATGTAAGATTCGCTTACAATTATGTAGGATTCATCAGAGGATGTTAGTGGAGATTGCATGAACCGAGGATGCAATATATCGAGCTGCGGTCCAATGCAAGACAATGGAGGCAAGTGTGTGCGTCGTTCTACCATGTAATACATCTAGATAGAGCTGGAATTAGGGTGTAACAGCTTTTGTAAACAATGAATTCTCTCGATGATTTCTTTGAAGTCATGGCTCTCACTGGCAAATCGACATCACCATCGAGTAGAGGAAGACTTCTTCTACCCGATAGATATGTTGGTTTGTGTAGGCGTGCTTTGAATTCCGAGAAATCAACAAGAGAAGTCATAGTTTACAAAGGCTGCTACGCCCTAATTCCAGCTCTATCTAGACATAACAATCAAGGCAAATGCTTACTTGTGTAAGTGAAAGCATATACAGAACGCGGAATAAAAAAGATTAAAAATCATTGCATCGTCTGCAAGGTCAACTTCTAACATTCTCTGCGATGTTCATGAACAGAGGATGATAGGAAATGGAACTAACATTCATTGTAATAAATTTTTGGTTTGCGTGACAGTGGCGCAGACAGTTAGGTCTCCCAGGTGCTACAGCATTAGATTAAGCTATCCAACCTTCGACAAGGTGCTGTAAAATGGCCTACGGGAGGGATTAATGTATGGAATTAAGTATCTGAACAAAATAATATTAACTTAACTACTTTCATATAACATAAACGAGTATTTTCAACTATCTTTAAGACAAACCACTGAAAAATTCCATAATAAATGCTAAATGGTGCCGTCAACGTCAATTTAGAATGTAAAGACTCTTTTCAAGATTTTTATAATTTCAAGATTGATTTTGCATTCCACATGTTTTGTAGAGAAGCCTCCCTTAGCTCAGTTGATAAAGGCGCCGCTAAAAAGCAAGATCATGCTGGAGGTTCGATTCAGAGTCTGGTCCAGGACTTATACTAATGCAAAAATGGTATACAGGCATCGAAAGCTCTCAATTAATAACTGTGGAAGTGCATCTAAAACACTAAGTTGAGAACACGTAGTATGCTAATATGCGATATGCAATCAGCTTAAACTGCGAAGAAGAAGAAGAATAATAATAATGTTTTGTAGAGGATTGATAAAATGAGATACGATTTTGTAGAATTTTCCAATATTAAATTCAAAAATTATTATGTTAAAATCTGGAAAATATCAAGAAAACATTTAAATACCTCTTATAAAACTTGGGATGTTTTCAGTACCACTTACAATACGTTCAAATCCTTAATTAAAAATATGTTTTGCGTGTTACTTGGGTTCCAGTATAAAGAAAGAGAGAATGATTAGTAATTTACATTTAATGACACTACCTTAGTTGCTTATAATTGACAGATACGACTGCAAATTGTAGACGAAATAGGCGTATCTGTCAAGGATAAGCAACTAATGTAGTGGAATTAAGTGGAAATTACACCAAACATGCCCACATTCATCAGGTTACTTTCTGGTTGTCAACTTACCATACGTTGCATAATTTGTGTAGTATCATTATATTAATCAGTATTCAATTAAATGTTTTTTATATAATGTATTGAATCATCAAATTTTTTGCGATTTATTAAACTTTGATCCAAATGCTGTTACAGTGCAACGCCATAAACATAGCTCAGTATAACTAAACATACCATTAAATTCCACTTAACTTGATCAAGATCTACTAAAACACATATCAAATGATCACATCACATCCACGTAAATTCGGTTTCGCAATATCGCATTCTTCTATATGTTTGCTCAAAACCAACCAACTTTACTTAGCAAAGTGACAAACCCCGCCATCTTTCGCTCCCGCAGCTCACCGTTGTCAATCGAAAATACGCTTTTAGATCAGCCGACTGTAACGCTCCTTCCATACTACCATCAGACTGGTGCAGCGCAGCGAGTGAAGTGATTTGAGCTCCTCCAAGAGAAGGTGACACATTGTAGTGCAAACGAAAGTGAAAGACTGAAGACCAGTTTTCAGGTTGGTGGCCCCTTTTCGTGACTCTCGATAGACCAGGCAGCAAGAAGTGAGGAAATCTGGTGGCCTGGTCAAAGCGGCGTCGGGCGACTACGCTATTACTCAATCGAGCTGTGATATTGGGTGATTCAGAAAAGTGGTGAAGACCATGGTTGGTCGTGTTTTACTTCCGAGGCAGCAGCGGTATTGAAGTGTTTATTTTGCATCAGGTGATAGCAGAAGAAGTAGCAGGAGAAAGAGGAAATCAAGTTCGAGCCCATTTCCTTACTAATCAGGTGTAATACGATACTGCCGCCTAATAGTCGTACGGAGGACCAGTTTAAGATGAAGCTTCCTGGCGTGGCATCAACAGCTTCGTACAACCCGGTAGCCGTAATTGGACTGATCGGTCTCGCTCTGGGACTGCTTGTGAAACCAATTCAAGGTAGGTGTGACTGATGATTTTGTTTTCGTTAGGTTGCTAAACAGTTTTGAAGCTGACACGCGTGGCATTGAATTTTCTGAGACCGTTAGCATCATGACCCGAATGTGAGGAAAAATGGTCATCGATTCAAGGGCTAGGGTTGTGACCTTGGTTGGTTGCGGAGATATTATCATTTGGGAAAAGTTATCGAACTTGGAGAAAGAGGACAATTCTATAATATAAATATATAGGGGGCAAATTAACCCCCGACTAGAGCGCAATCCTATGGGTGACTTTATATAAGAATTACAATAGATTCTCCCATAAAGTACGCCGACAGCATAGGTTGGGCAGATATCGAGTGTCTTCAACTGATCGACTGTCTATGCAGGGGGAGGAGGAGTTATTGAAATCACTCAAAATCCATGTGTAGTTCGACGCTAATTGACGAATCGATTTTAATTTTCCATCTCTGAATTCCATGAAACTTCGCATAATTGTTCACTATGGGCAATGAACCAATTTTGTGCTGGCATTCAGCTATTTTGACTCTCGCCTAACTTTGCCAAATGGTGTATTCGACATTTTTCAATAAATCATAGCACAAAAACGACTCATCTAATCAAAATGATATATGAAACAAACTGGTAACTATTTAGAATTCAGAGTTCATCAGTGCTCCTCGATCTATGGCTCACTGACTTTATATACGCCTGTATGTATGTGCATAGAACTTGAGTCATATTTATTCAACTTAATTGGTTAGTTAACTTTGTGCGCAGTAGTCGAATTGGTTTGCAGTGTTCAAAACAGTTAATCTCAAACATATATGATGTAGAGAAAAGTGTGACAATCAATTTAATATTTTCATTCCGTTTCCAATCATGTTCACATACTCTTTTTAAAATCCTGGTGCAATTTCAGATCGCAACCAAATACCTTCAAATTTTGCAGAGCTGTTGGAAATCTCAATACAAATCGAAAGAGCCATAAAGAGTGAATCATTGTGACCCTTACTTATAACCAGCACTCCAAATAGGGTGATGGTCTTACCCAGAGTATGTTGTTTTCAAAATAATTAACTACATATTATTGATCAAAACTATGTATAATAGGGTGTGACAAACTTCAAATTCCAGTTCCAGTATGATTTCCGAGGGCCTTTTGGGTCCTAGAGTAACTGTGTAAAATCTCAGGTCAGTTGGTAGAGCTATATTTTAGCGCCAGTGGTTTTAATTTTCTATGGGAATACTTACTTTTTCAAATAAAAATGGGTGACCTCATTGTCTTTTTAAAATAAATCAAACCCACTTCTTATGAGGAAATTTTAAAGGAAAACTTTTCTTAGAAGACCGCAAAACGATCCGACGCTTGTGGAGTTAGCCATTAGTGATTGCTAACCAATCGAACTGCTCATTATTCTTATTTTCTAGCACCACTGCCAGGTGCCGCCTGCTGCTGTCTACGCGAGACAGTCACGTTGTGTGGGGTTCACTTAGCATGGAGGAAAGCCGATATCACCCACAAAGAATCTTCAATTTGGATGAAACTTTGCGCAGGGTCATTTGATAACAAGAGTAATTTTAATTTTGGCACACAATTTATTCCAATAATCCTACTTGAAAAACTGTAAGAACAGTTAAAATGAACTGAAAATGTCTAGGTTGTTCTGTGATTAGGTAAAATTTTAGTCAATTTATGAAACTGGTCTTAGAGTTCTGCGGTTTTTTTGAAAGCACTTATAAACAGTGCCCCACAAAGTCAATTTCAATCGAAAATCGTCAAGCGACGATGAAGCTGTCAACCATCACTTTCAATTGAAAGTCATTCTGTCTTCTCTTTGCGCAGATCCCCGTCAACATCAACAGAAAATACCCATATCTTAGGGTATTTGACACTTCATAAAACCAATGGCCACTATCTTGAATTCCAACATGGCGCCGGGTATCGATTTTCAGCATCTACGCGACATACCCGTTCCGCAAATACGCTATTGTAGGGTATTTGACACTTTTCGGGTTCCAAAATAACGTTGAATATCGATTTTTGGCACCTTCGCGTCGTTCCCGTTCCGAAAATACCCATATTGTAGGGTATTTGAGACTTTCCCTGACCTCGATTTAATTTTCGTTTGATATAAAATAATATATTTTTACTACATATAATCCGGATGCCATCCCTATCAGCAACCGATGTTGCGCGGATACTATCCGGATACTAAATTTTGATGCCTGCGTCGTCGGGTAAGGACAAGTCGAATGAGCCACGAATTGAAGTGAAAGTGGAAAAAACTAAGGAAACAGTTTTGGGAGTCATTCATTGCGTCAATTGAAATAAGTATTTGCTTCAAATGAAATGAACTGAAGCACTTGACGAACGAAACAAGTGATAGTCCAGTCATGTTTGAAAAGAAGAATGTTCATGGAAGAATGTTGACTTACACGAAAATGATACTGCTTGAAATGAAGTGATTATGCGGAGAGTTCATTTTCCTTACTTTGTTTCGAAAATGCAGAAGTTATAGAAGACTCATTAGAATTAATTCGGACTTGTGATTGAAAAATTGACCCCGCGGGCTACGGTGTGACCTTTTGAAAGATTAGGAACAGCCGTTAAAATGGTAAAGTCATAAAAATAGTCCTAGAAAGCACTTCTAGAAGACTCATTTGAACAAATTCGGACTTGTGACCGGAAAATGGACACTGTAATCTACTGGATGAGCTTTCGGAAGGTCCTGAACAACAGCGAAAATGGTCAATTCATGAAACTGGGCCTAGAGCTCTGTGTTTTTTTTCGAAAGGGTATCCTTCCAAATAATCCGGAACATTAGTAAAAGTGTTTAATTCATAATACATATTGGTCCTTAAGCTCAGCTTTTTTTAAAGTACTTTTAAAAGACTCATTAGAATAAATTCTGACTTGTGACCGGAAAATGGACCCTATGGGCCACGGGATAGCCTTTTGAAAAATCCAGAACAACCGTAAATTTGTCCTACAGCTCTGCGATTTTTTCGAAAGCACGTATAGAAGGCGTATTATAATGAATTCAGAATTGTGACCAGAAAATGAACTCTAAAGGCCACACTCGGAACTACCTTAAAAGTGTTCAATTCATAAAATTGGTCCTGGATATCTAAGTTTTTTTTTTCGAAAGGACTTCTAGAAGACTCATTAGAATAAATTTGGACTTGCTACTGGAAAATGGACCCTGAGGGATAACTTTTCAGAAGGTCCAAGCCAAACGTAAAAGTGGTCAATTCATAAAAGATCTCAGTGTTTTTTTAGAAAGCACATATAAAGGACTCAATACAAATAATTTGGACTTGGGACCAGAAAAAGGACCCTAGTGATTATGAGGTAAACTTTAGGAAGATAGTGGTTTCCGGTATGAGAAAAGTGTAAAATACTCCTAAATATGGGTATTTCCGGAACGGGAACAACCCTTAGAGGCTACAAACCGATTATTGACCCAATTTTGAATCAAAGATGACGACCTCCAGTTTGTGAAAAATTGTTAAATACCGTATAATATGTAAGGGGACGATGTCTAGAGATCGTAAATCGATGATTGACGCCATTTTTGACTCCAAGATGGTGACTACCTGTTCATAAAAAAAGAGTCAAATACTCCACAATATGGACATTTCAGGAACGGGGACGACGGGCAGAGGCCGGAAATCGAACATTGACGCCCTTTGGGGATCCAAGACTCCGTTAATTTCTATCCATTGGATTAGTCTATCCGCATAATTTTCTATTCTATTCCTTTTTGAATAATCCGGAATGTTACTCAGTGGCCTCCAGTGTCCATTTTCCAGGTCACAGCCGACGCCGGTGGTGTAGTGGTAAGCGTGACTGCTTTCTAACACCCCAATGGGTCTGGGTTCAATCCCAGCCGAGGTCGGTGGGATTTTTCTGAGGCATAAAAATCTCAGGTCACGTCCTTCTTCGGAAGGGAAGTAAAGCCGTTGGTCCCGGCCCGTGTGTGTTGAATGGGTGCGAAATCCTACACAGGTGTGGAAGCTGCCTTTCTGCATATTCGATTGCCGTCAATGGATGGCAATCGATGTCCGTCGGTGATTAGCACTGAGGCGGAACAGAGACCGACGTTAAATAAAGGAAAAAAGAAGATTTTCCGGTCACAAGTCCAAATTCATTTTATGAGTGCTTTCGAAAAAAAGCTCTAAGACCATTTTCATAAATTTACCACTTTTACTGTTGTTCCTGGTTTCCTGGTGCCCTAGTGTAAGAGTGAAGCTAGATTTCACCAAAGAATGGTCGGTCATCTATTTGCTCAATAACTTTCCCATAGACACCAGGACATTATGTTTCTAAATGTTCAACAGACGGTGGTTCTATTTTTTTCTGTATTTGTAGATACCCCAGTTAAAAAAATTAACAACACTTCTCCGAATGTTGCAGCAACATTTGAAAGAACTGGAATATCTAATAGAAATGCAAGTATGATTTTGGAAGTAATAATTGAAGACAATCACACGAAGTCGTCCAACAATCTGATTACGTTTTAAATTATCAGATCATTTGCTGTTCCCGAATGAAACATCGCGAATATTTAAAAAAAATTGATGTAATTTTATTTTTATGCTGTTCTAAGATTCAAAACTTCTTTAATTCTAAAATTCTAAAATACAAAAACTTTAAAATTCTATGGCTCGAAAATTCTTACATTGAAAAATTCTTAGACTCTTGAATTTTAAAATTATGAAATTCTATAACTCATATATTCTTTAATTTTTAAATTATTTGTATAGATTTCTTTCTTAATTTGTTTGCTATTCAAACATTTTGTTAATTTTGATTGAAAATTTACCAGCTGAAGCAAAGCTTTGAAACTGATGTACCTATGGTAGTACAAATATTCTGCCTGGCATCAACAGAAAGCGCTTTTATCGGCTTCCCAATCTTGTTACTGGAGCAGGGGTGTCTAAACTTCTTTCCGTACCTTCCCTATCAAGTGGAACGCCGGATGCTGAAACAGCTGCGATAATGGAGACAATCAA